AATATTTAAAGAATTTTGGAATGGTGGGTGGTAAATAGACCAATTCACTGAGAGATCACAGTTCATCCTGCGCAGAGTGAGAAAAAGGAGTATTTATCTTGATACCATCTCCTACCAGTTTCAAGCAGTAAAGCTAAATGAGCCCTTGATAGCTCCATGAGACAGCATGACTGTTATCCTGGGTTGCAAAGCAAGACTGGAGTCCTCTGGGCAGTGCCTTGTGTGGGCTGCTTTCTACGGGCAGGCATTTGGGGCTTGCATTTGGGGTGCAGTAATTTCCCCAGGGCTCTGGAATGGATGGGAGACAGGGATGTGGGAAGCATACCCTGGGACAGTTGAGGTCAGGAATGCTCAGCTGGACATGGGGGTCTCCACAACAGAGAAACCCAAACTCAGAGCAGGGAGAAAACAAGGAGCTGGCCTGCAGTGTAGTGGTTGATAGTTGGGAATGGGAAGTGGGATGCATGTCAACACTACACTTTTTAAATAAATAAATTATTTGAAGAGAGAGAATAGAGCCTGTGGCAGTCGTGTGTTTCCTTACTCAGTCTTTTTTATCTTGTCATACATCTCATACTGGAATACTTAATTGGTCTCAGTAAGTCTTTCCAAAAATGAGTGCTCATGTACAGGGCAGTACAGCACTTATTCCCACCTCTGTTTTATGACCCTGTCGGTGATTCAGTTCTCCCTTTTAAATACTTATATATATGTGCATATTCTTAGCCTTTTCTTTGTTGAAAGTGTCTTCAAATTTTGTCAAAATCTTCCTAATTAGTGAAACTATTAAATGTAACCAAGCTTAAATAGGTCATTGAACTTAATATGACTGACTGGTCAGCTGTCAGCAGTGCCTATTGACATTTCCCCGTGCCAGTTTCTTTTCCACCTTTTAATTGATACAGTAAGTTCCATTTTCTGCATTTTAGCTGATCACTCTCTGACATGGTAACATTTGCATTGCTGTATTCTGGTATGATTCAATCTTGTCTAATTTGCAGTTGATAAGTCCATGTCGTGCTTTATCTGTTTCCTTTTTTACCCCCTCCACCTTGGATTTTTGCAGCTTTGCACTTTATTATATCAACCTTTGAATGAGTCTGTGTTTGTCAGACTCGCTCTACTATTTAACTGTCTTTTGCAAGTACATCAAAGCTGGGTTTTTCATGCTCCAGCCTAAGCAAATATCCATAATGTGACAGTTTAAAATTAAAATCCTGCCATCTTGACATATTATTTGTACCAGTTCTGAGCAGGTGATGAGTCAGGTCCCCTGTAATTAAAATATTTAATGCTCTTTTGAGTTTTTCTTGAGATAAAATGGGATGTGGTTGTTTTCATTTCTCTCAGTAGTGTCTGTGTGCCTCTCCTTACGGATGACAACTGAGGCAAAGTGTTAATGTGTCTTCTAAGTCATGCCTATGCTGTCTTCTGCGTTTACCTTATTATGGCTTCTGAGTATTGTCCCAGCTTATATCCTGTCCTATTCCTCTTTTACCAGCATCCTTTAATTCCCTTCATAGGGTCTAATTCAGCTTGATTCTCAGCAATTTATATTTTATACTTTGAGACCAACAAATGTGTGGACCTTTTAAACTCATTTTAGTCCTCCTATTTATTTTTCTATAGTGAGATGAAGTTTGACTATGAATAATGTAAATTAAGAGAAAACCAAGTAGAACTCATGCTCTATAGCATTGAATACATGGCATCCAAAAACTTTTGAAATGGATGAAGTTTCCATTGGCTTCAGTGACTTACTAATCAACTCATGCCAACAATGGCAAGTGGGAGCGGATTTATGATTGTTTTTCTTTAAAGTTTTAAAAGTTAGCATAATAAAAAGTAAAGCAGAAATCCTTCATAGAGGTAATAAAGGAGTCTCGGTGTCTTATGTGGTGAAAATAGAGGGCTTTTTATTATACTGTCAGTGTCTGTTACTTATTGTGAAGGGTAAGTTCAGAAGTTCAGACTCATAGCTTTTTCAAAATAACACTTGCAGAAGAGTTATTTGAGAGAAACGTGACCAACTGGGAGACTTTGAAAGGGGTGAAACCTTATTCCAAGTAAGTGTCCATAGGTTGGCAAAATGTTAATAACAACATTATTCAGGAGAAACTTTTTATTTTCTTTGAAAAGTGTCCTTGGCATTGTGGAAGAAACCTACAAGATATATAATGTGCTGATCAAAAGTAAGATTCTTATCTAGAAGTACTGTAAAATATTCTAACACCCTACAAACTTTTTGATACAGAACATAGCAAGTGTATTTATGTGATGGGAAATAATGGTAGAGAATAAGTAAAACAATGAAAATTTTAGTGACTTTGTATGGAAGAAATGTCTGATTCTAGACAGACATAGACTAAAACTGATCAGTTGTACTGCCTGTTTTCTTAAGGTATTCTTTACAAAGAGATGTTTTAATGTGATTTATTAACTGATCTTGAAGTCTTAAACTGAGTGTAATTTTCTAATTTTTAAAAATAAGACTAAGACTCATTTGTTTATAAATAGATTGTTAACCACTCTTGGTTCTTCTGTATTAGGTGAAGTTCTCCACTCAACTACATTTGAAAAAAAAATAAAATTCAGAATGAAGAAATAAGATCTTGAAGTCCTCGTGGTAATGGAGACTCTAAGGAAGACTGATAAACTTGAGCTTTAAATTGCTTGAAAAAAAATACTTTCTCAAGTTGTTTTCCCATCCACAGATTAAAAGAAAAAAAACAACCCCAAAACAACCTTAAAGTGCAGGTTTTCGTTAGGAGTTTCATTAGGAGATACTCCACCTTTTCTGCCTAGGAGTTAAGTTATCTCAGGACCAGTTCAGATTCAGGGCTTGGATTACGTCCTGTACCATGCAGTACGTTGTGTTTTAGCAATTCCATTGCTAAAGTGGAAGAAAGTAAAATAAAAGCTATGAACAGAAAGTAGCTTGGGGGGTTCTGACTTTTGATTTGACTGTGGAAAATGATATTGGAAGAAAATGGATCCAGCTCTGTTTAGGGAAACGTGGTCTCTGAATGGGTGGATTCATTCTGATGGAGGGACAGGATCCAAACCCCCGGTGCCTCTTAGAGCTCAGTCAGCCAGGATGCAGCACAATCTGTCTTTGATCTAGCCAAGCTTTTGAAAATGTGCTAGACGTGATGCCTGAACAGTAGGCTACTGAAGTCTCAGCAGGCTTTTCAATTAAGAACCATGTCTCAAATTAGAAAGCATTTAATTAAATAGATGAATGCTGAGCTTCGAGAAAGCTATGAAAAAATTTCATCTTGGTATTCAGTTGAAACAGAAGGTATCCTAAGAACATGGACAGATCGAGGGCCATTTTGCAGAATACTGCTGCCACATTTCTCCATCAGCTACTTGAAAGTACCCAGTCCTGAGAAGGAAGCTGAGAAAGCTGGATGAGCTCTCTTTACTGCATTTCCCAGCCTTTTCCTGAAAGGACTTTACTCCGATCACCCTCTGTAGCTGGTTTTAAATAATGAATGTTTGAGAGTGTTGACAACTTTGTTCCAGTTGACTTTTAAAGAAAATTATCAAAGTCAGGTTGTATCTGAAATCTGCTAGTAGTTGACTAAAGTCATATAGTGGTGCTATATATAGGTGCTGGATAGTGCAGCACCCTGTGCTCTTCACCTACACCATGGTGGGGCTCTGGCAAGTTAAAACTGCCTGGCTTCTATAGTGAAGACTTGCCAGAGAGGGGTCATTGGTGTTTTGTGTTGATGGGGATGCTGCAGATAGATCTTGTGTCCTTGTTGAAGACTTCCAGCAGATCTCTTGAAAGGCAATAGAAAAAGTACTTTATGTTTCATGGACTTGAGAACAGGACTGTCAGTGTTTCATTTGAACATCTGAGCTTAGTTTGCTAATTCAGAGTGGGCAAAGTTATTATCCTTAGTTACACTGCCATAGAACCAAAAGAGTCTTTAAGGTCCTGTGATTCACTGAGAGAGTGGTCAGTCACTGGAACAGGCTTCTAGGGAAGTGGTCACAGCACCAAACATGTTGGAGTTCAAGGAGCATCTGGATGATGCTTTTAGTTCTATGGTTTAGTTTTAAGTAGTCCTGTGAGGAGCAAGGAGTTGGACTTGATGATCCTTATGGGTCACTTCCAACTTGAGCTATTCTCTTTGTTATTTTAGGTGGGAGGATAAGTGAAACCAGCTTAAGAGAGAGAATCAATGATTGCAAAAGAAAAACATTAATGAAGATAACCTCACTACACTTAGCCAGATATCTGTACTTCACTCTAATTGTGTTAAACTGTATATTTCTTCTTTTCTGAATGGAAATGAAAATTGACCAGCTGTGTGTTAGTTGTACCTGTGAGACAAATGTGTTTTTCCAAGTAGAAGAGACTTGTGGTGATACCTCAGCCCAGTTTGGTTCATTCCCAGCAGCTATGAAATGCTGAATGGTCACTGCAGGAGAACCACAAAATTGTGCTGTACTGCAGATTAGCTGAAATGTTACCAGGATTTTACCCATACTGTGACAATTAGAGGAATGAGCCAAATTGGACTGGGGTTTTTTTGGATCAATTAAATTAGACTAAGAGACAGCACGCAGGTATACGTAACTATATGAGAATAATGTCATACGGTTTGTTAAAGCTAATGAGTGATACCACTGTAAGCAGGGACTTGTAGAATATATATTTGAGTATATATTGTATTTTTACATGTATAGTTGTTGCTGAGGGAAAGGAAAAACCTGTTACGTATTGCTGTTTTCCAGCTTCCCTGCCTCTCTCTTTCCACTCAGTCAGGTGATGGTTTGAATTCTGTCTTACTTGACCCTTGAGTAAGGTGATCTGAGGGGGAAGTGTTCAAACTGCTTATGAAGCTCAGGCAGAAGACATCACTCTGCTCACTGACACAATATGTTGAATGATGAAAAGTTACAGCATTTCCCATCAAAGCTGTTTTTCTTCCTAGTATCACTATTGGAGAGTATTACTGACTTATGTTTGCATTGCTTTGCAGGAATCTCGGTGGCCGTACTTATTTGGAGCAATCATAGTTCCTTCATTGATACAAGTTGTGATTCTGCCTTTTCTTCCTGAAAGTCCTCGTTACCTTCTGCTTGAGAAACATAACACAAGCTTGGCAGAAAAAGGTATGTGTTACTTTCTTGCAGCAAAGGATGTTTATGGTAGGGATGCAGACTGGAAAGTAATTCTGATACCACAGTAAAAGCAGAATATTCCAATGGGAGAAATTTTCTTGGCAATTATTTTTCCCTCACTTTTTTGTTTGTCTTTGTGTGTGTAAATATAACTGTTGCTTTGATTTTTTTTTTTAATAAATTAAATTCTCCAACAAACTAACCTATGTGGCATTATGCATGGTGATACAAACCTAACCAAATCATCCAGCTGTTGTGGGTCGGCTACTATATGCAAGGTTTTTTTGGGAGTGAGAGGTAACTTCAGTCTTCATGACTGTTCCTTATCTACGGTCTTTGGAGTTTGGCTGACAAAAATACTGATTCTGTTGCTGGGTTTTGTTCAGTAGTCACTGTGTTAGTGACTCTGCTTCTGTAACTCGGTAACCTTTGTAGATGTAATAAAAACCTCATACACCTATTTAACTGAATATTTTCAGTGCTTCCATATAGCTTACTTCAGTTTCACAGACATAGACGAGAATAATTTGTTCTTACTTTAGGTTCTATGTATAAAAGAATTTGGTTGTGTGATCACAGCTGCTGTATACTCTGCTTCTGTAAAATTACTGCAGTCACTTGTAAGTTCCAGTATGTTATAGCTGAGACAATGTTGAAAATTTGGTTTTGCTTATTATAAATACATGTTAAAAATTGGAGTGTAAAAAGAAGAAAGGAGTCTGTAATACAAAAATGTTTGCAGAACATAACTGCGCTTTAAATATTATTCCTAAAAACTTCAACTGACTATAACCCTTGACATTTTCAGTCACTAAGTAGCTGCTTGCAAAACTATTTGCAAAGTGTGAATCAGCCCCTGAAACTTAAACTTAATAATCTTTTAGCATGAAATAATGCAAATCACTCTATACTATTTCTTCCACTATGAAATGAAAAACTGGCCTCTTTTGTTCTAATGAGCACTCTGAACTAGAAATGGCACACTAATGAAGAGACTTCCATGTTGTCTCAGTTTGGTGTTGGAGAATTCTGTGAATGTTGGAGCCTTGGAGCATTCAGAGATACAGTTCAGTGTTTAAAAAAAAAAGTGCAAAAGCAACAAGGCTTTGGGGAGAGTTCTTTAGCTTTACAGAGTTAGCAGAGGTTTGTTGAGGCAGAGAACAGCTTTCCCGGGGACTGTGAAGGGAAGGGCTTTGCCTGCCAGCCACGGTCAGAGCACCCAGCAGGGATGCAGCCATGAGCAGCTGGGGCTGGCTCTTGGGCTGTAACTTCTGCAGCACCACGACTGGGCTGGGAAGAAAGGCCTTGAGGTGCCAAGTTTGAACTGGCTCATTTCTACCTGATAAGACTGTAGATGTATTTATAGAGCTATGGCTGACAAAGAGTCTGCGTCTGCAATGCTATTGCATAGTGTCACACTTGTTATAGGGACCTATTGGAAATCCTGCCGCAATACCTGGAGACCTCAGCACTGACAGTGAAGCTGGGCCTCTCATAGGTAGAGTTTAAAAAATCATAAAGAAATGGCAGTAAAGCAACACCACCTGCCTTGAAATTCACACCATTTACTGTTGCTGGTAATGGGCCAACTGCAGTCTGGAATGTTTTTAGCGTATGTGTTCTGAAAATTATTTGAAAGCTATTCTAGAAGCACTGGAGGTGGATTTTAGAGTAGAAGACTTCAGGAGAGCAAAGTTACCCACACTTTATTTGGTAGTTGAAGGGAAAGGAGCTTTAGCATTTGGCTTGCTGATTATGAGAAGGTGGCTTTTGTGAGCCACTTTAAAAATAATAAATTTAGATACTCTGAGAAAAAAAAGTGATACAAAAACTTTTCAATGTAACAGCTTATCAATAGAGGCTTTTGGACTTGAATAGTTCTAAAAGAAAAAAATAATACTGAGTTATGTTGTAGTGCAGAGAGGAACTAATTTTGAGTGTAGTCTACAGAGCTTTCGAAGCAGGTAGGGACCAATGATTCTAGGCAGAGCTTTGCAAAAGTCCATAGGGTAGTGAGTTGCCTTCTGCTCCTTGCCTATCAAGCAGCCGCGCTTCCAGAATTGGCCACCTGATTGCACAGGCAAAGTTGCCTGTAGGATATCAGGTGCAAAATAGGTAATGATGATTCTTGGGCATCATTTTGGATGATTGATTCATGGAATGACTGGGCAGGGGACACCTGTGATGTTAGACCAGCATGGAGAGTTGAGAGCCCTCCTCACAACCCCAGAGCATGCAGAGAAATCCAGATTAGGCATGAGACAGCTTTTCTGGAGTAATGCAGTGGAATAACAAAAGCATGTGGGGAGGGGAATTCACAAAATAGAAGGGTTAGTAGCTCTGAACCAACAACCAGGTAAGATGATCTGGATGTCCGCATTATCTGCAGAAATAGGGGAGGAAAAGCCTGAGTATTGGGGAAACCTGGGTAGTTTGTGGGTTATTAAAGAACCCTACTGCTCGTAAGCCATATAATGACAATGCAGTATTCTCCATTTTACTAATGACTACAGTAATGCTTTTGAATTATTTGCCTCTTAGGTTAAATCTGCATATTAATATCAGAAATGTGCAGGTCTGTCTTCTGACTAAATCCTTTTTCTTTCTGCTGACAGATCAAGGCTATTCGTGCAAATATACATTTCACTGTGGATTATATCTTGTTGGAGAAATATAAAACTGTTATTTGTAAAAGGTCTGCTGTATTTAAGGCAGATGACTACATTAGTCTTTTAAAATACTCTGAAATGTACATGTATGTCAAAGCTTCTAAAATGGAGATGACAACATTAATCTTCCTAATTGTTTTAGAGCAGTACAAATGCAGTGGGATAATGTAGGCCACTGAGTTTCCTCAAAGTTCTGCTCCTGCTTTCTTCTGCCCCTTCTGTCCTCAGGACATAACCAGACCAAAATACAAGTGGCCTCATTCTCTTTTTTTGGCAGAGGTGTAAAAAAGCATGATGCCTTTAAGTGGCAAATGAGACTAAAAGCCAGGAGAAGGACCAAAATGTGTTGTGTAAGTGATGAAAAAAGAGAAGGGATGAGGTTAGAGCAGGTGGACAACATGTGTGAACGTAAACCACACCACCATGAGAGAAGCTACTCCATGAGCACAGGAGCAGAGAGACCTCAGATGAGTGATGTCTCCTGAGCCCCACTAACAGGGATCTGCCTGGTTCCCTGCTTTCCCCTGTCCAGCAGTGCCAACGGTGCGTGCTGTGGGTGGCAGAGCCGATGTCTGGCTGATCAGCCATACAGACACTGTGGCTGACTTCCTGGAGGTCACCATCCTGTATCTGACTCCCTGAGACCACCAGGAGCTGAGCTGTCTCCCGTCTCACTGCTGAATGTGAGGGAAGTGGTTTATGTGTTGCAGGGGGAGAACGGTTGACTGGACTTACAGCATAGTCTGTAAAGCTGCTTTTCTCAGGAAGCTGAAAGTCTGGTAATGGGAAGAGGGTAGAACCATCCCAGCTCCCCTCCCAGGTCCCATAATTGACATTCTCTTCTTTTGCTAAGAACAGAAGAGAGAAAAATGCCTGGCATTTGACTGATGTGATCCTTCTTCATAATTCTCACCAGATAGTAGAGGAAAAGTGGGTATTTAAATGGTTGAGGAGAAGGACTTTGGAAGGAGATCATTGTTGAGTTGATAGAGAGCAGTGGGTGTGAAGGGTAACAGGGAAAGAAACAGGAAGAAAAATAAAAACCTGCTGCTAGAATTACATCAAGCAGTTTACTATTGAAGCTCAAGGACAGTAAGACAGGAATTTGACTTTAGTCGTGTATTAATTGCATGCCAAGTGGATCCCTGATCTGTCACTGTGGCAATGATGAAATAGAAATAAAACCAGTAGAAGTACTGTGATAAAATGAAACATTTTTATGACAGACAACATTGGTTATAGACACTTTCTGTTGGAGAGTTGACATGACTCTTGAAGAATACTGTTACAAGGAGAAAACCTGCATTTTCGATGCAGTGACAGTAGCAGGTCATGTAAATCAATAATTCAGCTGGCATCCCAGCTTGCCAGAGAACAAGAATATTGTTATGTCTTAAGGGTCAAGTAACTTAGATAAAGTGTCACAGTAACATCTGTTGGTGATGTACAAAATCTGTTCATCTAGTATGTTCAGTCATACATTAAAACTCCTGTGGTTATGAAAGAAGCATTACACCAGGTATAATGAGATGTGTAGATTTAAATCCTTAGAAAGATGGATTAGAGTTGATACCTTTTGACGTGATAAAAAAGCGAGGCCTTCTCTGATTTTAAAAACTAGGTAGCTAATTTTTTACAAAACCCCTCATGGGCCCCATATGGACATGAGAGATATTAAAGCCAAAGTTACAGCAGGATCAAATTGCTGCAAATCCAGTGATTTAAATGAAATTGTTATGACTGACAATGAGGACATAAATTATTTATTTTTGCTTATCTATGTTTTTTGTATGTCTCTAAGCTTTATGAATTATGCTTATTGGAAATGAAGAAACAGCCATGACTACTGCACTTGCTGCATTATGGTACAGGCTCCATCTCAGATGGCTGCTGGCTGACAAAAGCTGGAGTGATTGTGGTGTGTCTGTTTGGTTTTAAGTTTTTCTTAAACTTCCTATCTTTCACAGAGAACACTTGGTTCACTGGACCCTCTGATACAACTTGATTTACCAATTCTTGTGTTATTTTAGGGTCGCATGTGGATACTTTCTTTTACCTGTACATCTTGGCTAGATTCAAGTGAATCTGAACAGGCTTATTTTGTAAAGATGTAATCCCGAACTGGATGATAACTCACAGATTTAAAGGCATAAGCCCTATTGCCCAAACTACTACCTGTGACCACTTCTCTCTTTTTCTGACTCCTTGTGCCTGGGGCTGGCTCTATTCTGTAAACCACACAATCGCATTTTGATCCTTTAAAATGCCTTCTCAAATTTATATGCTAATTCAGTCTTTATGATAACAGCTGGATTACTTTGCACAGTCCTGGAATTACAGCAGTGGAAAAAAAATTAGTAATTCTCCCCGTAGATGAGTTCTTGAGTGTCCATCTTCAGTTAATTTAAAGACCTGATTGGTTTTAAAGACAGCACCAACTGATTTTGTTCAGACCATTGAACTGCTTTCACATGTTTCACCTTCACTTAGCTGAGATGCATAAAAGCCAGTGGTGTAAATGGAAGGGTTTCCTATCTCCTTTCCCCTTGACTGGAACATGCACTTCTTTTGCTGTTTATAAAGGCACTGTACCAGCTTTTGAAAGCTGAGCACCTAGGACCTTCTAATCCAAGGGAATTGAAAAAGAAATCTGGGAAAGGCCTAAAATTTGCCAGAAGTGTAACTCCTTAGATGGTTGTCAGTGTGGCACAAAAACAAGCCTTCACTATGGAGAGAAGCAGCCAGTCGCAGAGGGAAATGAGTCATTGCAGGGGGGAGAGGAACGACTGCTGTGCTTCTCAGTGCCAATAATGCAGGGGTTTAAAATGTAAAATGAGTTGAATATCACACATAGAAAGACCTTTGAGTTTTCCCATCTCCCTGCTAATGTAGTATTTATTTCCACATTATTTATGTATAACATTCTGATTCTTACGGTACTGAAAAACTGTTAATGGAAGAAAACTGAAGATGTGTTGAGTAGCAGGAAAACATGTTTTTCCAAGAAGACTGAGTGTTGTCTACTCAAAACTATGCATATATAGCATAGCATTTTCTTAGTATTTCTTGACTTGTTGCTAATTTTAAGTATCCGTCAAGGTTTCCTAGTGGCATTTATATCTCTGGTTCTAATACCAGGAAGGGAAGAAAAAGAAAGCAGGTATCTGTATTTTTCTTGTCTTATACTTGGTAATTTTGGTATTTGCAGTTTTTTCACTTCCTGGTCCCTCTAGAAATATAGCAAGCTCCCTTGTGCAGAAAAGACAGATCGCTTTCTTTTTACTTGACTGCACCTATATTTTTGACTTGTGTGCCCTACAGTAATGCCAAGAATTCTAAGGACAGGAAAAATAAAGAAAATTGTGCACTGACCTAATTCACACTGATAAACCAGATGCTTAAAAATCTGAGAGAATCTTTTCAGAGAAGAATTTGGTGATATATGTCTGTTTGTTCTCATTTTATCTGAATTTTTCTTTATCAGTGCTCTACTAATACTGAGGAAAGTGTAATTTAGGTATGAGACAATGACTTTAACATACATAGGCACACATTATTCTAATTTTACATTTCTTGTTGGTGTCTGTAAACACTTCACACTCATTTTAACAAGCATTTAGCATGCCATTTAATAATAAATGGGCAGTGGCACAAGGACAAAACTCAGCAGCTTAAATTTTGGGTTCTGGTCCAAATTTGTTAAATCATTTCTGACTGTGCGGCCTGTGTGAAAAGATAAATCTTATGCTGTTTCTGAGGAATTTAAAAATTCTGACCTCTCCTCTCCCAAGAGAGAAACTGGATATCAGAATAAATGAGTGTTATGAATTGACTCAACACCCAGAGGTGGTCATTGTTCACCCTTTAAAAAAATAATTCTTCTTGTTAAGCAGTCATATGGGTCCCATTAAAATGCAATAGAAGTTCTAACTGCCTCTGAAGATCTTGGCCCAGAGCATGAGTTAGTTCCTCATGCTGCTCGACTAGGAGCCAGGCAGAGTGCACAGCATTGCACATTCGCCAAAGGGACAGAGAAGATTGCCCTGGGGAGGCCACTGGTTCATTTGTGTGACCCATCCCTCACAGCACTGACATGACACTACTTGGCCTTTTCACCTAGTGAGTAAAGTTAGAATTTTGGATCTTCAAAACATAAATGGAGTCTGGGCATTTTAACCATGTCTAGTCAGTGTCTCTGGCTTGCTTGACCATCCAAGTCCTTTCTGTGCTCCAAAAGAATGTATACTTACTGAAAAGCATAGAGGTCGTTTATTTGTAGACAGTACTATCCAAAGTTATGGATAAGAGAAAAATTGTTTTGGCTCTTAGGAGAACTAAGTCAACTTAATCACTTAATAAAAATAACAATTTTAAGTGACCTGCTGTGTAAAGGATTGTATTTAGAGTTAACATCCTGCTGGGTCACAAAGCCTTGTTGCAGGGCTATGTGTAATGCAATTGTGTCTCTGCAGTCATTCCAAGATAAGGAGCATTTTAAGTATCTCTTAAAAAACCAACCCCTGGGGTGTGTTCGTAAGATTGTGACAGAAGTATCATCAGCATATGCGGTATCTGTGAAACAAGGTTGGTGGAGATACGCCACCTCCATTAGGAGGTACCTGTTTGTAGTACCTCTTGGAGGAGACGTGAGATGGAAATCTTTTATTAATCACAGTGGAAGGATATATCAGTAAGTCGTTGATGTGCAGTATAATATAATACTAAATGGTTTGTTTTTTTCTGGGGAGGTGAGGTTGGTTGTTTACTTACATTTGCCAAGTAAATTCGCTCCTATGTCTCCAGAGTTGACAAACAGAAAGTCTTGAACTGTTCTGGGTAATTCTTTCTAATATTAATCAACTTGACAAAGTGAATTGTTGTCTACATACTAGAAAAAACGAGAGGTAATATGTAGAGTAATAGCTGTTCCTTTCGAATGTCTGCCTTTTCTCGGTTTACCAGACCCACATACATTTTTACATCTTAATACTTCTCTATCCAATCTATCTCCAGCAAAGAAGTCTGCTGTATTACTAGACTGCAAAAGTAGCGAAGTCAAATAATGTTCAGAACTTCTTTGCCATTCAACTCTTCTTTCAGATTGCACAGGGCTTTGACTCTGCACTGGACCTTAGGCTATATTATGTATGAATTAATATACAGAAAGATCTGTTAGGGTGCCAAATAATTTATATTCTTGTTGCAGTTTCTGAGACCAATTGCAGGGATGAGCCGGATCATACCCAGAGCAGAATGATGTTGGCAGAAGACTAACTAAATTGTAGCCTATGTGTTTGTCCTGTATGTGGCACACATTTCCATTTCTATGAAACAAGTCTGTTAACAATGCACATAGTGCAAAGTATCTGGCCTAAAGTACATGTCCTCTCTTTGTAGCATTTCAGACCTTCCTTGGGAAAGCCGACGTGTCTCATGAAGTAGAAGAAGTTTTGGCAGAGTCTCGAGTCCAGAGAAACACCAAGTTAGTGTCGATACTTCAGCTCCTGAGAACCCATGCCGTGCGATGGCAGATCATTACCGTGGTTGTCACCATGGGCTGCTATCAGCTCTGTGGGCTAAATGCTGTAAGTGTCCTTCTTCAGGCCATGACATCTCCCAGAGTGCTTCTTTCTTTCTTTTTAATACAAGATTTGTGCTGTGCCATTCAGCAACCCCTATGACTTTACTTTTTGGCTTTTTCTTATTAGTAATAGTTTTGTCATAGTTCAAAAGCTTTAATTGCTTAT